GCAGTAGAGATTAATTGTCGGGAGAAATGCAGTCGGCGGGCATCGAACGTGCGTCAATTATAAGGGACAAAATGCTTCGAACTCAGCCTTCATCGTTCGTCTGAATATTGTTAGGAAAGCATCACTTAGTGCTATTTCATGCATCAAAGTGTACATCCAGTCATCCGGCTCTCAATTTGTGGATTTACCGCTTTCAACTGCTGGTGGAGAAATGATTCGTACGCATGCACACTAAAAATCAGCCGAACTACAATATAGAGCTCCCCTCGATACGCAAAAACTATCTTCGCGTTGTTCCATGATGTCAATTACTACTCCAAAGATGGGGGTTCCATCATAATTGTGAATAGGCTGTTGCTCGAGCAGGTACGGCACTGACGTCAAGGTCGAGCACAGAATTAGGAATTTCGTGGCGCAGCGAGAAGTTTGTGCAACTGGCACGACCACAATTCCGACCCTTGTATGTTACCGTAGCCATCTTGGCTCAAGGTAGATATCAGGTCCTCTCGCTAGGCTGCAGCCGCAAGGTGAATGCCGGTGACGACCCTTTTGCTCCCCGTTCCCCTTGAACAAAGTTATCTCTCACGAATTCACAGTCTTCCCGCTATCATTGGCGGAGACAGATCTCACTGATCCGAAAAGAGAGAGGAAAAGGGGAACATTAGCAACATTGTCCAGGGGATAGGGGCGATTCCGAACGGCGTCGTGGGACTGCAGCATATCAGTAAGATTAGCGGAAGACATCGTTTGCAACATAATCGGAATCATTCCGATGCGGGGACTCGAACCCCGGTCGCGTGGGTGAGAGCCACGAATCCTAACCAGCTAGACTACGTCGGACACAACGCAATGAGATTGATCGGGTATGTTATATTTGCCTCTGCATGGGCATGCGGCACCTCATATTACACCCGGGGCTTCTCTCATGCCCAAACATCACTCTCAAAAAGAGCACTCGATACAGAACCAACGAGGCGTGGTACAAAAGTTGGACCACAGTCGCAAGTCGACGGGGGAAACCATAAACTTTGAATGCTTCTTTCTACACCCAGCATTGAATGTCGAGCAAAGTTGAAGCAGAAATCATGGTGACACGGAGTGAAAATTTAGGTAGATAATATGACTCGGAAATCTAGCTCCCCTCATAGAGTGCGTGGGGTTTGATACGAAGTTTGCAGATTCGACATATTAACCCGGTGTCATCCGCAATGACAATCCCCCCAATGTGTGTTCCATCAGCAACACCACACACTCTTACAACAGTACAACGGAAGCCCTACCTTACCGTGTTTGCAGTTCACGACTATCATCAGAATCACGAGGATGCAGGCAACTTGCTTTGAGAGTGGTACTTTTTATACCTCGAACCAATGACAGCAGTGCTAACCCACTGGAATCAACATCGATGAGGTTAGCTATATACATGCAAGAAACTCCAACAACGCCAGCACCTCAAACACCCGACAGATGCTCAAACCTTGAACATCTGTACCCAGCCAACCCAACAAATCTAGTGACAGGATAACACACATATGGTGAGTAATAGGAAGTCATTGAGGGAATAATAAATATAGATCCACTGTCGTCCCAATAATAGCATCCATGAGAGATCTGATTATCACACCGTCTCAACGGTGACTGTTTGTACGTTACTATGCATAGAGTCTACTGGCAGGTAGAACAGCAATATTCGCACTTTAGACGAGAAGTATAGAACCGAACCATCACAATGAAGCAGCCGTGATGAACAAACGGGAGGCATCGCATTAGAATCTAACTATCATACCAAACCTTGTACTCATCATAGTCCGATTCCTCGTGAGTAACACCCTGCCTTTCAAAAGTCCCCCCGTCGTGTACCGTCGTCATATTGGGTGGTTGTCGGACTGTAGTTTCCTGTGGGTTGGTTAGATATTCGAGCTTGTTCGATCGGGGCGGCCGGCTGAGTTTTGTCCATCGCGGTAAAGCGGACACTGGTATACCAGGAAAGTAGTATTGATCCAAATAACTACGGAATATACCATTACGTTCCGATCGTACCTGAGTAGAACACAGAGTAAGTGGATACGAGGCGGAAGATGACCTACTGTCTGGGCAGTAGCTCCACTGACGAGCTGTCTGAGAGCAAAATCCCATGCATCTATGGCAGCAGTCATCTTCGGCGTGTTCCCTCTCCCCACTCTAGAATCTCTCGTGATGACGCTAAGGAGTATCCTAGCAGTATCCCCATCCTTAGAAGGGTCCTCCACTTGTCTAAGCACCACTCCGACATCATCGTCCCTAGTAAGACGATACATGAAACCATTGAGAGCCCATCCCTCACCGACTGATTGGAAGTGAGGTGTCTCAGGTGACATCAATACTTGGAAAAACTTAATGGCCTCATGACGTACCTTATACGATGGCGACCCTGGCCTGCTCAACGACATATCGTACTCCCGTTTCACAGCACCAGATGGAATAAATCTACTTGCTATAGACCATCCAAGAGGGAAGTTGGGCTCACGAGTCGAAGCATTTAGTTCAGGCTGTGAGCTAATACAAGCGTCCTCGCCTTGCCCAGCATCCTTAATCGGTGGTGGATCTACTTCACCATCAGGTTCTTGAGACGACGAGTCATACTTCTTTTGAAGGCTGGGTGAGACCTCGTTACTTCTCTTAGGAATATTCTCCTCAGCCGCTCGCTGATGCGAGTAAGCCACGGGCTTCCGGACTGTGGCCTCATAGATACCAGCCTGGATCCTATCGCGGTAGTTATGTGGTTGTTGATAGTAGTTCGACCCTCCATAGGTGGTTACCAGATGATCATACGCAGGGGCGGTATGGTAGGTTCGACGTGATTCGGAATATGAACGGTCCAATTGGGTCGTTCCTGTAACCTGAAAAGGCTCCGATATAGTCAACAAACACCGGCTGTAGTACATGTTGGCTAGAGAGTGGTGGACTCTCGTGATAGTAGGTAGTTTGCTCTTGCGATGTGTAAGGAACTAAATGAAGACATCATTGATGCCCGATGAGCTGTATCCATGATACCCACCTCCATGACCATCAAACATAGACATGCCTCCAGCCTGCACGCGTTGAAGATGATGACCATCATAGCATCGAGTCGATGGCCCACCCCTCATTGTGCTTATGAGAGGGCTTGACATAATGCTTACGGAAGACATACTGGCATGTTCATACTCGTTGCCATCAGCAGGTATACTCTGCCTGTACATACCCCTACGTGCATAGGGATCACCTCGATGGAGTGGTTGCTCAGTTACAGACGGAGGAGCTGGCGGTGGGGCACGCCGCGGAGGGTTCGGATGGGGACGATAGTCATTACCCACCATGGGCACTAGTTATTCAGGAACCTCAAACCTGCATGCCTCGTTAGCTCTCACCCCTTCTAAGCAACTGTATGATCCAGAAATGACGAGTATATTTCCACGTAACGATGATAAAATGAACTTAATCGACAGTGAGATTCAATGAGCCTTACTGAAGAGCCAGATATGTAACTCATTGATAGTTATCCTAACATACATCGTACATGATCCATAACCTCGGATAGTAAAACGGTAGCATACAGTCAAGAACGGCCAAGTGAGGTCGATTCCGTCTAATAGGAGCCAAAAAACTCCGCGCGGCAGCTTAATTTATGAATTTTGCGCATTTCTTCCTTGAGTGTTGCTCACGCATGACAACGAAGGCTCACGTGCCTCGACAATACCACAAATCAACTTGAACCCCAATCCAAATGTTACTTAAGCTAGAAAAACAGCGAGCACGATGAAGTTGTTGGAATTCGAGAGAAAACGAGCGAGTCACGCGGATGGTCTCGCAGCATGTCCCTCACACTAGTGTGTAAATGACAGGGTTCGAGGGGGAATCCATATGCGATTATATTAACGCGACTTCAACTAGATATTAAAGCCGAAGAGTGGTAAGTCCAGATCAACTATGCAATAATAGAGAAACTGGATATACTAAAATCTTGAGTAGGAGAACTTCTCGCATGTGTACAACAGATATTGGAATAGTTCACTCCCTGATGGTCGGAGGCATTCCAGGTTCAGAGCTATTCGGTGGCCCTAAATCCAAATGGAACATGTCTTCGTATAGAACGAAGAAGAGTGGTACTCGATGAAGCGTACCTTCGATGTAACTCCACCCTTGGAATGCACCCTCCTTGACCTTAGGTGCTGCCACAGCAGCTCCTTTGACAGCCCGTGCCTTAACAGCCTGAGTACGACAAGAAAGTTGTAGATGTATACTCCAGAGAGACCAAAACGCACCTCGACAGGCTTTGTTGTGAACTCGGGAGAGAAATTCTTCTTAGTTTTGCTAGGATCGATTGGTGGCTTGATCTGTTTCCGGAAAAGCTTTTCCTCGAGAAAGAAGGAGATGATTCACTCGACAGTAGTATATGGTTACCCAATCCATACTCTTAACCCAGGGATGATCCTTGATCTCTCTAGCTCCTTTCCTAGATCCAAGCCTCGTCTTAGGATCGGCCTCTAAGAGCCTATCACACATGTCTCGTGCTGCAGCAGATACCCATGGTGGGTACGTGAGGCTCTCGCCCGTGACTGAAGAGTTGAAGCATGATGGGAGCCACGACAAACAACCAGCACGGCCACCTCTTCGAGCGAACATTTCATCCCAATTGCCTTGGAAGTGTGGGAGGCTACCAGTTAGCATAACGTAAAGTAGACACCCAAGGCAATAGAAATCCAACGGCTTCCCATGACCTGAAACCATGCACCAACCGATACGCGGCAGAAACATGCATAATAACGACAACAGGGGTACCACCACCTTCTCGCTTGATCATCTCGGGACTAAGGTACCCAGCAGTGCCCACGAAAGACGTTAATTGCGAGGCTGGATCTGTTATATATGATATATAAACACGCAGTATGAGAATCCAACAATACTACCTGCTTTGCTTTCCTTAGACAGGCCGAAATCAGTTAGCCGCACATGGCCATCCAAGTCCAACAAGACATTCTCTGGTTTCAAATCTCTATATAACACATTCTGAGAATGCAGGTACTCCAGACCAAGAAGGACTTCACAAAAGTAGAACCTAATTGACCTCTGGATACTTTTGACTGATCAAATTATTGCATCACTTGGCAGTTGACTCATCAAAATGGCCTCGCTGCATCATGTGATAGAATAGCTCTCCTCCAGCACAGAACTCGAGGACGAAGTATAGGTGAGAACGTGTTTGGAAAGCCTGAAGTAATAGACAAGATAAAGATAATAAGTAAGAATGGTATTGGGTATTACCCAATACATAGTAACTATAAAGGGATGCCTGGCCTTAGCCAATACTTTACGCTCCATCATGGCACGCTCCATCCTCTTATTATTGGAAAGAATCCTCTCTTTAGTCATCATCTTTACGGCATATAATTTACCGTTATCCCGACGACGAACCTTGGACGAAGGATGAAAGACAGCACTCGAATGATCCGTACCAAAATCACAGAACAACTTGCTCCATCGCCAATAACCTTGAGGAACTCAAAATCTGTTAGAGTAGCCTTCGAAACGTAGGAAGAGGCTCCTAGGTCCTGATGAAACATCACTGTAGGGTCATCGAATAGCCGACTCATGACGTTGATCCTCCAGTACTACCTCTACACTAAAGATAGCCTCTAGATCCTCGTTCGGTCTCAAGCAAGTAAGTGGTCGTCTAAAGTCCATCAACCATGTATCCTAAACAATACTATTGTAATACTACCACTGCATCATCATCACGTCCTCCCTACCTTGGCTTCCTGATCGGCCTTATCTCCAAACTCCTTGAGCCCAACAAGATGACCAGGTGCACCCAATTCCCGGAACTGCTGTTGGGCTTGGTCCACCAACCATCCACATGAAAGATCAGCAGCAGGCTTGGGGAATTCAATAGTAATCACTCGTTCGTCCGTAGCTGAAGGCATCATACATGATGTTAGAACAGATCCTCCATAGTACGGTACCTTCACCCTTCTCATCAAACGTGAGGAACCCATGTACATTCACAGACATCATGGGCTTACCTGAGGGGTCACTCATTACTAAACGATCATTGCTCTATACTCACTCATTTGCTTTTGCAGAGATTCGTTGTGCTTCTTAGAAGGAAGAATCTTTCGTAATTGCCTAGTAGCCGCCGAAGACGTTTTGGAAGGCGTGGATGACGAAGGTGCCCCTTTACCGCTGCCATTACTTGATCCTGCATTATCTCGGCTTTGCTTGTTACCCATAAGACAAATAATCCAAAAGATTCAAAACTGCAATAGTCCTGGTAAGTCCCTCCCCCTAGAGACGATTACAGGTGAATTAGTATGAGGAGCCACTACAAAGGACGAGAAGTTCGATAAGATGAAACATAGTGCATGTAAAGGTATTGAGTCTGTACCATCGCACAGCCTATCATAGTAGCGGACTAATATAATCCTAGTATATCTACAGCACACTCCCTCACATGGACTTCATTACTACCCATCCGACAGGGACATAACCAATCGATCACCTTCACAGAGGGATGTTAACTGTCTTCGGGACTACACCCTCACTCACCCGATAAAGCAGACTACACCCTCTCTGAGTCGTTCAAATCGATCTCTTTGGAAGTTGCAAAAAAGAAGGGTATAACGGATTGGTAAAACAAACCCAGTAATCTGTCAATTACCGCCAAATACCTGCAGCAACCAATTGCTAGCTAAGTGAAGAATGGGCAATAAGCTACGCCTGCAAATGATGGATAACAAGACCCAGGTAGAGGCCTGCATAACCCCCAACTACCGAAGCACATGCTATTCTTCTATGTTTATTGGTCGAGTATGTAAGAGCCTAAGTGACGGCAGGAAGTGCCATCGTAGGTACCATGTCACACAGCCCTGCACGGATAGTACCTAGGATGATATAATTGAATGGGTCTTGGGCTATGGCATTACTCAAGACTGTCATGTTGGCTAAGAACCTAGCGGGGCATAAACTAATATAGAGGAGATGATGCAGTACAAGGATCTCGCGAGTACATACTTCCCATCTGCACGTAGACCAACCCTCTAAAACATGATGATGATAATCATGAGAGAGGATTTACAGACACTGATCAATGAACGGAGCATATGTGGAGGGTGAGTAGTAGAATGGAAGAGCTTAGAGAGCTACGGTGCTCGTAACATAGGAGCTCACAGACAAGGAATACTACCCGACCAAGGGTTACCTATCAGCACTATTGAATACATCACCGCCGTCATTCTCTTCCAGGAGCATCATTCTGACCTTCTCCTCCAAGAGCATCATTCTGACCAGATCGATACCAACAAAGAGCTCCTGGTTTGATTTCCAGCTCGGAAGGAACCTCGACCATTGTGTATAAATGGACCCATAGAGGAACTGAGAGCAGCACCGAAAGACAAGGATAGGTAGTATAGAGTGAACCTACCTTTTCGTGCCTTGATAAGCTCTTAAAAACCTCTATCAACTAATCCAAGCTATTTATCTCAGTCAGTTCGGCTTTGTCACCTGAGGCTTTGTCACCTGAGGCTTTGTCACCTGAGACAAGCTCCATCTATTCAGACGGAGCTGTTATTGATCAGTGATCTATAATAACAGGGTGTTGGACATCTATTTCAACACTTCCAACTGTTGGGAGTAATTCACTCCGAGTGAATATAGAATCTGTTTATGGCCCTCAAGCTGCTAACTTAGTCCCATGAACGAGTGTGTCAAGCGCCGTCACAGAGTGCGCTGCTGACATTCATCTTGAATTCTTGTATCGCCTCGTATTTCCTCATTTTCGGATCGCAACAAGATTGCTTGGCGTTGAACAGGTACTGCGGATGTGTTGACATACCCAACAAAGCTATTGGTATGCTCTATGGCAGGGATTGGTCGTTTTGTATTGGATTAGACTCTTTAGACTTTGGTTAATCGGTAATTACTCCAACATGGCCGAGGAGCGCGAGAAGAACGTGTATATCAGCAAGCTAGCCGAACAGGCTGAGCGTTACGACGAGATGGCAGATTACATGAAGGCAGTTGCCGAGACCGGCACTGAGCTGAGTGTTGAGGTAGGGGATCAACTACCTTATAACAATTCATATCCCTTGAGCCTCGCTGAGAACATGCAGAGTGTTCCCCCTTTCGAGCTGTTTATCTCACTGTAGCATGTGATTATTGTTATTGTTTCTCCTGCTTCGTAGGAACGTAACCTACTCTCGGTTGCTTACAAGAATGCCGTTGGATCTCGCAGAGCTTCGTGGAGAATTGTCTCTTCTGTTGAGCAGAAGGAGTCCAGTAAAGGCAACACCACTAACGCTGAGATCGCCAAGGGTTACAGGGAAAAGGTTGAAGCTGAATTGCAAGAGATCTGCGATAAGATTCTCGGCCTCCTCGATAAGTACTTAATCCCTTCTTCCCAGTCCGGCGAGTCACAAGTCTTTTATTATAAGATGAAGGGTGATTATTATCGCTATATCGCCGAATTCAGTTCGGGTGATACCAAGAGCAAGGCTGCTGATGATGCCCATCAGGCTTATAAGGAAGCTACCTCCATCGCTCAGAAAGAACTCCTCGTTACCCATCCTATCCGTTTGGGATTGGCACTCAACTTCTCTGTCTTCTACTATGAGGTGCTCAACCAGCCCGATGAGGCTTGTAAGATGGCCAGGCAGAGCTTCGAAGATGCTATAGCTGAGTTGGACAATGTCAGCGAGGATAGCTACAAGGATTCTACTCTTATCATGCAACTCCTGCGCGATAACCTCACCTTATGGACCTCTGATCAGGACGGTGGTGCTGAAGATGGTGCCAACTAGGCAGTTTTCGAGGGTAATGCTGGCTGTCAAATGTTATATCATGGCTGCTGCAGTAACTGAGTGATAGCTGATATGCTGAATTATTATGTGTCGGTAGTGATGCGCTTACTCAAGACAGTATTATCGCTCCTCATAACAATAATTGTTAGCTTATTTGGTTTTGTGTTATTGAGTACCCGTACGAATTAGGTATGACCTTGATTGTGTGAGGGTTCCACCTCATGTCAATTGAATTCACAATGCTGCTGCCTCTTTGATTGTCTAAGTACTTCCATCTATCAAGGTCAAGTGTTTGGCCGACCAATTCCAATAGTCAACTCGTCCCAAGTTATCTGCCGGGCGTTGTATGGCACTAGCATTCGTAATATGAATGATCAACTATTTCGAATTGGAGTTACGAGCCTGTATGCCTAGCTAGTGAAATGCTCTGAGTACGGCAACGTGTCAGACACTAAGAATGATAACTGCATCAAGAGATCCAGTGTAGGTGAAGGTGTGGGTGGGAACGCGAGTGCGAATGAGCATGATACGTGTTACTTACGTAGACATCAGCATCGATAAGATCGAACCATCGGCTGCCATCCAGGGTGAAGGTTACAGCAAGTTACAGTGTATCCAAGTACCCGATGAAAGAGGATCGGCATCAAATTTTGTTAGTCATTGATAGAAGCTTGCCATTGGAAGGCACTAATAAAGCGAATCGTCGGTCCTTGTTCGAATAGTGCGATGACTTCGATGTGTTGAGGATTATTCAGAGATTCCGGTTCGGAGTTACTTCCCACTGTACGAACACTGACACGATTCGAACTCGTGAAACTGTGAGCGGCGTTTTGCACAACAGTGGCTAGAATGGTGGAGGATTTTTGGGTTGTATGATTCTGTGAATAATTAGTCATCACTGATTCCAGCCAGCGATACTGAGGAAAGTGCATGGACCAGACGCAGATTGGAGCGACACTGAACTCGAGTACACCGATGTAGACCATACATGAAACAATTGAGCCAATGCATGAAAGAATTTCGGCCCAATGCCCATTGATTGTATATCCTAGACATCAGACTAGCACTGTAGTGTGTTACAGGCTCTCCATGAACTTCTAACATTATGCCAGGGCCCAGGCGGAGTATGCTAGCCGAGAATAAGGATCAATCCAACAATAATAATTACAACAACATGACCATCATCATCGTATCGAGGACGGACCTACCCCTTCTGTTCGTACTAAGGAACAGCCGAGGTATTGTACTCATTGACTCCTGAAGTAACTCAATCTCGGGGAGCGTTGGTGATAACAAGGTCTCACTGCTAAAAACTCCTCAGCGGCCATTGCTCGAGAGGAATATTGACGCGACACCTGAGAGAGCAGACGGTGGTTGCTGATCAACCCTCGAGGGTGGGATGCGGTTTCCTGTTTGCACTAACGTTGTATCGCACAAGAAACGGAAATCAAAGATGTCTAATCCTCCGTTGTTGGCGGCAAAGCCGACTTGTGAAGATACTTCCAAATGGATTTCTGAATAGATGAGATGCAGATGACGGGGAAAGCATACACTACTATCCCATCAAGGGTCTCTTTTATTAATGCTAAGCCGAAAACTTGAGGGCTCGCTTAGGCATCTCGGACAGCGGAGGAATGAAATGACGCGATGTATACACATGCGCTCAACCTCAACCACTTGACCGGCTACTGTCTCTTTGAGATGAGCTGTAATCAAACGAACAGTGTACATAAACTCCACATGGAACCATGAACATGTACTCTTGTCGGCCTGTCCGGGACAGGCTGTCCCGGCCATAGCTTCCACCACATCATGAGAATCCTCGACCTCACAGCGACTACTGCGGTGACTGATAGTGTAGTATCAACACCCAAATTCAGTTCCCACATTGCAGTCAGTTGAGCCATACCTCCAATGGCCACCTTTGATAACACTATGATAGGAAGGCGTGGATGACTAGGTTGTAGTGATAGAGAAGTGTAGTGGGGTTCGCGACAGGGGCACAGGTCTCACGGTAACCCAATATTCGCAATAATGAGGAGATTAACAAGAATTAACAATTGCTCGATGAGAAAAAGCGCTCACTGTAATACCAAGTCCTGGAGGAGAGTAGAATCGTCATCAAAAACTCCGTCTTGCCGCAATAGTGATATCAACAATGGCATTGCTTGTGCTATCGATACTAGTGCATAGACCTCGTAACTAATGATATGGATGACGAGCATAGACCACAACGGGAAGCACCATGAGCACGTTACATTCTTCCCCCATCCTGATACAGCCAACATTGTATCCGAATCAAAGTGATCGAACAGCATGTACTGGGATAGTTGGTCTATCCTGGCCTATACACATGGATGATTCATAACCAACAGAGTTATCCTCTTGCTAAGGCTGCTGCTGCTCATCCTTTTACCTTCAATCGTCCCTCGGCGATCATATTGGATGCTAACACCTCCACTTGAGCTGGTGTTCTATCTAGGATATCACCAAGTCGTGCTAGAGATATGTTCTTGTACTGGTGGGATATGGCTACTATGTTATGCTCAGTTATAGCACGAGAGAGGACGGTCATACCTGGAAGATGCTGATCATTTCTCGAAACAACGAGGGAGTAGACTGGTGTTGATGATGATGATGATGATAGTGATAACGCCACGCTTACCGTCCGGACCTAGTGCTAGATGATGTTCACTCAGGCCTTTCTCGAACTCCTTCAACTCCTTGGGATCTATAACCCTATAGTTCTTCACCTTTGTGAGGACATCCCACTCACAACAAGACGGTACTGCCTGTTCGCACCTGAACATAATGCGTATGAGCAGTATTTCGCTTTCGGACATCCAACCTAGGATCGCTAGTCATCATCTGTAGTATTCGCCTCTTCTTAGGACCAGCAGGGGCCAAGACGATACAACGAGCAGCTCCAAGTAGTAGCTGTGATACATCATCCGAGTCGATAGAGGAGCTGAATGGACCTAGAGCTACCTCCAAATACCTGATAACCAATCAAGCAACCTGTAACATAGCATACAACTGGAGTCCAGTACAGAGGACCTACTTATAGGCAGCATCGAGGAACTTCCGTCTCGCATCGAATATCCTAGCCTGGCATACCTTAAACCTCAACTGTAACGCCACATTGTCGGAACCCAGATCTGGAACCTGGACGAAAGGGATAAGAAAGCAAAGGTGGGAGGCGCTCACTAGCATGACAGCTCTCGATATGTGGGTTTCAGCGGATAGATCGTCGCCTCCCTCCAAGTAGAGTTCAGCTATCTTGGTGAAGTGTTCACATCGCGATAGACTACTGCGGAGGCTTCTGACAAACTCTACATAGCAGTCGCCCATATCCTACAGGAGTGAAAAGCTAGCTCACAGTGGTGGTCCCAATCCTCCTCCTCCTCCTACTCCACCACCACCACTACCACGGCCATCAACATCTATTCGATCAAGATCTCTGGCAGCGGCAAGGAAGTCTCCTTCTGCTTGATGAACCTATTACCACATAATTCGACATCCACTCTACAACATATTAAGATACCTCAGAGAGGTTGACCCGTAGTTGCATGATCTCCTCTCCCAACCCAGCCTGCCGTTCACTACCATTTGGTGGTGATGTTGTTGATGATAAACCACCATGTTCTAGACCTGGTGATGGGGCCGAGACTGATGATGATGAGGAGGAAGAAGAAGGATCTAATAGCTCTAACATTTGTAACTGGCATATCAAGTCATATGTGGATGGACGAGGACGGTGGGTCCTGAGCTAATTACAGAGAAATCCTCCAAAGCCGAGTTAGGCAGGTCAGACGTTAGCCGGCACATAGACTGTATGACCGCTCGTGTGAAAGGCTGATTATCTCTACAATTATTGATGACCTGCGAGACACGGATCAGCGGGCGACATAGATGGTCACGTATTACCGAGCGAGCGATACTCAATAGGTATCCAATGTTGTCGTGTTCACATCTGAGTACATTTTCTATAGCAAGAGCATCAGGATAGGCCGCACTGAGCTCCCGAAGAGTCTGGTCCATTGATACACTGGGGAGAATTACTCCTATCAGGGGAGTAAGGACCACGTCGTTGCACACATGATATCTACAGCCATACTCATCACTCCAACCAGGTGATGATGATGATGATCAAACAGTGTAGAGAAACCAATTCCCATGATAAGGCTTACACGTGACAGAACACAAGAAGGGTACAGCTAGAGAAAGTAATCAACCGATACCACCAGCAGCACCAGAAGCACCCAAGGAGGACGAGGTGGACGATGATGATGATAATGGTAATGGCGGTTGCGTAGCGATATCTGTCATACTAGACTGACGAATGTACAGTTGGATAAGCTTATGATGAGCTCTAGCTAACCAGACAGGCCAGAACTGTCTAGGTATTTTTAAAGGTAACTGCCGCAGAGTGCATGGACCCGAAAACCGTCCTTGTATTAGATTCAAGGTGTAGTACACCTGAACTAGGATATAATGACATCACCACTACTGTGGTTACATGGGCGGCTGTGATCCGGTCGTCCTGGCCCATTAGAATATCGGTATCTACTGAGCAGTCCAAGAGAGAGGATTCCTGATGATGAAGAGGACTGATGGTGAGTCCAAGCGATTGGATACTTTATGCACCTTTGCTCCACCAAAATCATCCATTTTGTGTGGATAGTTGAATATGGACATGATAGGAGTTGTCACATGCATCACAGACTGTCCATTGACCATAGACCGTGTAGCTGCTGTACTATGAGCAGCTCCCCCCACCGTTGACACCTCTCTCAATTGGATACTGGACGACGAGGACGTTGATCGATCCTTCGCTGAGAGAGTAGCAAGCATTGACAAAGCAGGTCGTGTGTCTATGGTGTACATGATCCATTACCTGTGACGACCTTGGTGCACGATCCTGATCCTCCTATTGATCCTGATACATCATCCTGCATCATACTACTCTGGCTACAACGATGCTTTGCTGCATCCAGATTCTTCTTGTCCTCCAAGATTAGTCCAGCCAAGCTAGAAATTAATGTCCCTGAAACAACTCAAGGAGACATCCACAAGATAATATATTACATGCCACAGCTTTTATAGCATTGCATGCTTCCTTAGACACACCCCCACGATATGCCGTCCTGCTAATCAGCCTCCTTTTCACAGTATCCTCGGCTAAGGGTACTTTATCAAGATCTGAGCATTCAGATACCTTGAGGATAGCACCCAGAGAATACACTATATTACACTCCCCATTGTGGCCTTCCATCATAGATAGAGGTAGAGCCAGTCTCTGCCTTTTATCCATAGGCTCAGCCGGTAGTATGGCTGGCCTCTTCTTTCTCGGATTACTACTCTTTGATGCCGTTGTTAACGCTGATGGTTCCTCATCACCATACCTAACAATAATACCTATCTACATCTAGCCAGCTCCATCCTGTTGTCCTACATAAGCCTCAGGAGGGCTTGTTCATAGCCTACGTCGATGCCAGCAAGGACTTTCACATCTCCCCCCATGCACACAGCTCGGGCCAGATGACGCTCCTTTTCAGTAGGATTCATAGGCATTGGGCGTCGGAGGATGCTACCTAAACAACAGCGAAGACGCATGTAAGATATTCCAATCTGATGGATGCCCCTCTTCCTCTTTACTTGCTGTTATGCCTCCTCTGGTATTGATACTGCCAGACTGGCTAGCGGCCACTGACGATGCTCTGCTCCCAGGCTGTGGTGATGTAGGATCTCCTGGGTAGGGAGAGTAAGGAGAGCTAGCCTACATAATGTCCTATCGTTATATGAGTACATGCCTATACCACTCACCCGCATGTGCCGCATATTGGCAGCTGCAGCGGCCGCCGCCGCAGCCGCTAGCTGTCGAGGAGGTACTGAAGGACCCTGGAGAAGGTTGACCGAGCGAAGAGCTGCTTGGAGTGCAGGCCTGAGTTGCGGATATAGATTTGCTAGTCACAGCATGAGCTAGCTATACTAGGGTATATGTGAATGGCAATGCTCAATACTACATGCCTATTATGGCCACGACTTCTTGTTGTATATTCTTATTATGCGTACTCCAAGTGAGGCGATTCAACTGCAAGAGTGATGATGATCATCTTCTACGACTCCAAGAGGAGATACGGGGCTTACTCGATCCAACATGCCCTGTTTTGCTTCACGTGTTCCTGGATGAGCGGAAGATGCTACATAACCTTTCACGACTTGTTCTAGCATATCGATGGATACCGCTATACGGTTTCCCCCGACAGATCTGACTCCTCCTGCTTTACCATAAGGCGGTGGAGTAACAGGACGCTGTTGTTGAGTGAGACTGGCTCGACGAACAGCTTGAGCGGCCACTGCTGCTGCCGGCAGGCCTACCATATATGCATAGTTTGAAACACAAGATATACTCAAGCAAGTGAGGTCACCTCACTAAGGTGTAATAACAGATTCCATATCGTGAGAACCAGCGATCACCAACGACGCCAGCATGCATAGCACCTTGTTGTTGTCCAGGGTTAACTGCATGCAATGCTGCTCCTGCTCCTATTCCAGGCATATTCTGGTAAGCCGATGATGCAGTAGACTGGGGTACAGCAGACAACTGCGACCCCCGTTGTTGTTGGAGTTGCTGTTGGGTATAATGCTGCTGATACGAGGCAGGGAGAGCTCTTGCTATCTGAAGAGCCCTCCTATCGTCCTATGCAAGTGGGTGCTCGGAACTCCTACATTCTGTTGTTGCTGTTGTTGTTGTTGTTGCTGCGACTGTTGTTGTTGTTGGTCGAAGACACTGGTGGAAGGTTGGTCTGAGGTGTGTCCAGGGGACGGTGTCTTTGATATGGTCCCCTTGCTGAGCTCCCTCTTTAATGCCTCCATAGCGCTATCTAGAGCACTCCCTCCTCCACCTCCCCCGAAAGGATTGTTAGAAGCCGACATGAAGATCGAGCAACCAGTTAGGGCACTGCAATGAGATGTACCTCAACCTTGGACACACAGGGACAACTCAACTATACCATCAAGCATTTCGTGTTGGGCCAATGTGGATGATGAATTCAACAATAGCCAATGAAAAGAAGCATGTGTAGCAGCCGATACGATTATACGCTGGAATCACGGAGAATCTCCACTAGAGAGGTAAGTGGAAGTATCATTCGTGGGGTTAGTTTCTCAAGTACCTAGGAATAATGACGATTACATCAAGTTGTAGCCAATACACGACCGATACCTGAACTCCATGTTCCTTAACTTGATCCAATAGTCATCTTCGCCCCTGATAGGAGGACATTAAGATGGAGAATGATCAAGAGGCTTCTGACCTCGGACTATAAGGGTCAACGCAGAACAAGTGGTCATTAACACTAGAGTACTAAGACTTCCTAGTAAAGCTACACTGAACAGCATTGCACCATACATCCTAGCCCAGAGGATCGCTGTAATTAAGTAAGGCGCAACACCCTCAACAATGTGCTGCAAAGGTTTACACTTCCCTTGAAGTTATCTGAATGGAAGTAAACTTCTACAAGACCATACTAAGAGAGGTCGGAGGTTTCGACACAATGATCAGAACACTGGAAAACATAAAGTATGATGGGAAGAATACAAATGGGGAACAGAGAGCCGCGGCAACTGTTGTTCGGTTGTTGTTAGTAGTCATCAGTCGCATCATCAGAATAACTCTGGTGCCCCAAGAGAATCAACATTCTCCCATCGCTTATTAGCATCAACCTAAGAATAGTATGCATACAACACTTAAGTGGGAATGGATTTTAGAGGGATAGAAACAGCCCATTCGATAATCATACACTTACCCAGTTCTGTGCGGCAATGGGGTTGCCAGAAGTATCGTCCCTACACAGTTGGAATTCGAGATCTCCATTAGATGTAGAGGCTAGGCAGTAACTCTTCCACACAATGCGGTTTCCCTCCAATTCAAATTCTTGGTTATCATTCCCAACCATACACCAGTAGCTTACTGGACGCGCACCCTCCTGGCGAGGGCTAGCTGCATCCAAGCAACGATCCTCCTCTGCTAAGGCCTTCAACATAGTCCCCTTATTCTGCCAATAGAATCTCTGTGCCTTATCATTTGGATTGCAGTCTGACTCCACTCGGAATACTCCATCCCTATGTGCAAGACAACCCTCAGGTTTCTGCAGCATAAAACTCTCATATGCCATAGCATTGGCATATACCAATGGATCACGGAATTTAGACATGAACCAATCAAGATCATGAGGACACTTCCTGTTGACTTGTGCAATATCATCCACGAGCCACTCATTGAACGGTACGGATGGCTGTCTCAGTTGAGATGCCGTAACTATATAATCTTGTGGTATGGTCACCTCAGACAACCGAGACACGATTATCTGAGTGTAAGATCACGGTTAGGAGCTCGGAAGTACTATAGGAAACGCCCACATCACCTGTCCACCACACAGCCAAGTCCTCATGCTCAGGCTTAGAGAGCGATGCTCACTTAGGAGCTTCTGATTGGTATCTATTTCGTTAAGCCAGAACTTGGTAGTAGCGAATACTGCTAATTGGGGCATCACTGGACTCTGAGGTGATAAATAGGATCAATGCAGGATGATTCAGAGTATTACTTCATCCATCTTTTCTATGTTCAGAGCCGCTATATGATAATCTTTATCAACTGCTCCCTGTACCCTACCATCACAGTGAATGTCTGCACTCAAGAGGCAGTTTTCAAGCATTACCGATCGGTTCCACCATAATGAACTACGGGTATTGCAATGCTATACTTCCTGACCAGGGCCTCTCGAGCGATACCATTGAGCCAGTCTCGCTTAAGACCAGTCACGCCAGCTTGAACCTACACGAAAACCATACCACTACTCAATATCCAAGGGTGCAGGTTTACAAATATTATAGTATCCGTTTGCTCACTAGTACATTCCATGTACTTCGGGACGTCTTTAGATGAGCAGAAGCGGACCTGATGAAATATTCAATACATGCACATACAGTGTAGAAATATCTCACAAAAGGGTTAGTTGTCCTGGCTCCGCTGAGTAAATAATTCTCAGGGGCATAGAGTATAACCTCCTTGATGAGGGATTTGGAACTATTCTCCAACACCTCGTCAACTGTCCGAGATATGTCGCTAGAAGGTATCTTCCCAGAGCCTTCCAAGGAACGCGGAACGTATACCATAACCGATACATAGGGATAGCTTGCTGAACGCAGCTCATCCCCAGCTTTATATTCGACATGTTGATACCCCACGCCTGTAATGATATTATTACAATATTATCTGGACTGGTAGAATATTACTTGCTGGTGAGTCCATACTGTGTATCCATGCACTATTCATATTGTAATCACGTAGACTAACTATCAACGCGATTTGATTAGCAAGCAGTATTGCCGTGACTATGGAAAACATCATGTCCTTCCGCAAGAACAGATAAACCAAGGTACTCATGGCAGCCATCATCAAGGCCATGCTGATACCTACCGAATCCATCCATTCTCCCCCACCAAATATGTACAAATCACTAGCCCCATACTATGTGTTATAATACTACCTGACCATCGCAGGGGCCTTATTATCCCCAGTGCCAGTACAGGACCAATGAGCAGGCAGATACGGGTTATGAGTGGACTACCGCGGCCGTGTTTACTAGCCATATCGAAGGAATAAACGAGAATCAAACACTATAGTGGCATAGTATACATCAGTCTGAATACCTAGAGACGAGTAATGCTACTGCTAGGGAGCATATAGGGCTCCAAGCTCTCCTTTGGATACAACCATTATCCACTTCCTGACTCGCTGCCAACACAACATCAAGCTAAGATAATAGCTATCAGTAATTATGTACAGAGTAGATATGATCTGGAATAACCCTTTACCCCGCCGGGGTAAAGAAGGCTCTTGCCTTCGAAAAGGAATGAACATATCTTCGGCCACGGTGATGTTATTAATGGTATCATCGAAATTAATACTTAGAAAGAACTACCATTAATAATCTTAATGGTATCATCATCATCATCACCTTCTTCACGTGACCTCTTCGAGGAACAAGATGAGATAGCATCACACAAAGCTAAAGGAGGATCTTGACTCCGAAAAGGATTGAACACATCTTCGGCCTTGGTGATGTTATTAATGGTAGAATCGATGTCCATGACGAGATAAAGCAGGGCCGTTGCGTACTTGCACCGTAAAGGAGGATCTTGACTTCGAAAAGGATTGAACCCATCTTCGGCCTTGGTGATGTTATTAATGGTTGTAGTAGAATGTCGAAGTCTCGTCATCGATTACTAGGGCGTGCTCATTTCCTGTCCTGGAGCCGTCACGACGACGCGCACGCCATGGTGATCGATATCACTGCTTGTACTCTCCAGTGGACAGTCTACACTTCTTCACTGACCGAGTACTATTTGTATTCTCCATAAAATTCCATGTGGATCGGTCTTCGTGACGGCTGTGATATAGCTCGAGACTTCTCTTTTCTTCCAGTTTGCTCCTTTTGATTGCGCATTCATTATGGTTTTTGGTCGTCTGGCTGCTCAGCTGAGGAACCGTGTTGACATAGCTGAAAGGATCTTCATTCGAGAGCTCAAGTATAAATTCAGGCAGCAGGAGCATAGACGTTACCGCATTGGACTACTGTGTCTTACTGATAGATGACATTCCTAAAGAAATTGATGCATAGAGAAAATCGGCTGCTTGACCACGCGACTTCTTCGTCGCGCGATTGCCCCTCAATAAGTACTGCGATAGATTTGAGTTGTACAATGGACACAATTTTGTTCATTTCTCGTATAGATCAATCATTGATTGATAATGTTCAAGATTACCTAGATCTGTAACGATTGGCAAATTAAATTTATGGTATCAACTTGAAACTTTCAAGTTCTCACGGTGAAAGCTGTGTGAGAGCTTAACGATGCAAAGCCAATAGCTAGTTCGTCATGAATACTCTATGAATACCCTGCATATGACAGCCCGAGTCCACAGTGGTTTATCTAAAGTGGCTTGCCATCACGGGACGTGCAGTACAGCTAAGTCGCAATCCGTGCAAAACGGTCACGACAATGACATCCTTTTACGTGGAATCAGCACTGGTAACTGCGGCCGGCTGCTTATACTTGCGGGTCTTCGCGAGTAATATCCGCCGAGTCATCCGCCCGAGTCTGCGTCTGCTATCGGGTATCGGATGCTCCTGAGATCAGCTACTACCCAAAAATGTACAGGCATTCAGGTTGAATGTTCTCAATTAGAATGAATATTATTCAATGAATATCGTTTAGTTTCAGCGACTCAAAGCTCGTGTCAGGGGTTTTCCGCACGGGGTTGAGCACTTCACTTCCATCTGCCTCAACGCAACACTAGTGTTTGAACTAACTATTGAAAAAAAATCGGAGTTAGAAATTCAGACATCGGCAGCTGAGCTTCAACAGGTGAGGCTCAACCAAAGATGCACCATCACATCCGCTGCCGAACCCCACATAAACCGGCGACCAGCTGCAGATATTGATCCCGTGAGATCGCCCCCCCCTGTAGGATTGGTAATGCCTCAACCGCAGCTCTGCCTTACTCCTAGTCGACCTTGCTGCTTCGCCGGCGTCTATCGAGTTCAGCCTCAACTCAGCCTTCATCTGTAGAGACAGAATCTTGTTACCGAAAGTATTGAAAGTAGAGCGAGCCGTTATTCCGTTCCCTAGGAACTGGTTGTATCCTTCACTCTGATACGCCCGTATCCACGATTTGGACAAATGGAACAAACAGCCTCTCAACCTTTCCGGATCTATTTCCCATATCCTCAGAATGGCCTGACGCATGGCGGGTTCATAATCAGTAATTATGTACAGAGTAGATATGATCTGGAATAACCCTTTACCCCGCCGGGGTAAAGGAGGCTCTTGCCTTCGAAAAGGAGTGAACATATCTTCGGCCACGGTGATGTTACTAATGGTATCATCATCATCTTCACGTGACCTCTTCGAGGAACAAGATGAGATAGCATCACACAAACTAAAGTAGGATCTTGACTTCGAAAAGGATTGAACACATCTTCGGCCTTGGTGATGTTATTGATGATAGAATACTCTTCCTGGGTCTTCCGCGCCATTACAATGAAGACCGCCGGAATGTAGTACCCCTGTTTCTCGATAAGAATGATCCACAATTGCTGCCATCCTTTGGGCGCCACGGCAAATGTAGCATCAAAAATAAGACCACTGCTACCATTTAATGCGTTGAGATTGCGGTCTGCAGCCCATATGATCATTGGCCGACCGGCATCGGCATGTAAGAGAAGTCGTTGATCATTTCCCCTACACTTGTCGACGTCTCGCTGCACCAAACTAACGAAATCCTGATAATAGCCAACTCTATCCAGATCGAGGCTCTTTAGCGCAGCCGGTTGTCCTTGCGCTCTGGCAGCGCGATAGGCTACCTGCTCGAGGTTCCGCTGGTCCCGCAGCGTCGTGTTGGCCAAACCGCCGTCAGCAATGATACCTTCGACTAGCCCATCCGTTCTTCCATTGTTGGCCACTTCTGCCTGGATTCGTCGCCTCTGACGAGTCTGCGTCTCCCTTCCCTCATCGGGTTCTCTGTCGCACTCCGCTCCATGCGCACCTGGCCTCCTAGTGAAATACAGCCGGTCGTTGCGTACTTGCACCGTAAAGGAAGCATAACACTTTTTGGAACAGCACTCATATCGACTCTTGGAATCTTCCAATCCCTTCTTAAACCGATACTGCTGTTTGTTTATCCATATGCTAGGGCCTACTAGGCCTAGCAGCTAGGCTTGTTCTTGTTGGTGGACGATATCCATCCCTCAGGTATGGGTATGTCCCCATGGAGAACCTGTCAACGAATCGCAATCAAGTTATTTTCCAATATTGTTCGATATTGGGACGATGAAAACTTACCCCCTCGGCATCACCTTCACTCTCATTGACGCTCTCTACTTCGGCTGCTGCTGCAGCAGCTCCAGCGTCCACTGGTACACCTTGTGGAGCAGGAGGGGCTTGAGCAGGAGGGGCTTGGGGAACAGGGGCTTCTTCTCCATAATCGAACTATTGGCCACTGCGTATATAGAATTGTTGAATCTGTTGCTCGGTGATAGCAGGTCCTCGTGAGGGAATGATATCCTAAATGATGGACGAATGAAGTTTCATGAAGATGAGAAACAGTGACCGCTCACTTTCAGCGCTCTTCCGATCTCATCTGGCTTATACATGAAATTTACTTGGAGCTCTCGCATTGTTTTCACGAACGTCGCCACCAGCGAGCTATTCGTCACTATACGGCGTTTTATACGATGACAGCGAGGACAATACCATGGTATTTGAGTGCCAGCATGCACGGCGTTCTCAAACCTTGGAGCGCACGTTTCAATGTGGAACCACAGTTCGCAGGAGTCGCATTGCACGCCCTCTTCCGGATCGCCCTGAGGCCAATATCCACCGCAAAGGCCGCAGTTGTACTGAATGGGGGACATGGTTGGATCTCGTGAACTTATAAGTATAACTAATTACATTAACACTCATTAGATTCATATTTCCTATCAATCCCTATCGACCCTTATCCCGGTCTTTGCGAACAGTCCACGTTCATACTTGCTAGCCTTCTGTGAGGACAAATGAGTGTTTCAATGCCTTCACCGCGATATTTTTGTGCGCACTTTGTTCAAGAAAACTAAGGATATAAGGGCAGGGACAGATTCGAACAATTTGGCGAAATACCAGACATACCGACAAACTTCACCACATAGTTGTTGCGACACACGGGTTTTGCCGAAGTTCGTCAAATCTGGAATACGCAGTGTTTTGCCAAGCTCCTGGTTGGCGTAAGCCAGTACTGAACCCTGTTCCGCCAATCCCTAGACTGTGCAGGTAACGCCAATTCCAAGTCTTCAAAGCATGTTAGACGAAGAGAGGTCCACGATGGACTGCGATTCCGCTGGATTCCGCCACGGTAGGGAGTCAGGACCACCGGCCCTGCGCTCATTCCTGAGGAATGAATTAGTCTATAGTTGTCATGGTCGGATGTCAGAGCTTATTCCTTGAAGATCTTGCATACACGATGCAACAGTTACACGAGTCGAGGAGCAAGGCCAAAGATGTCTACTAGTTGGTACAGCCAAAGACACTCATCCTCTCATTAGGTTGAATCAATGACGATCATGCGGGGATATACATATTCAAGTATTGA